AAGAGTGTGTAACAGAGAATTTTGCTAGCATTTCTCTTTGCAAGACATTAAAGACCAACAAACATACAATGATGATGACAAATCAATATACATATAAAACCCCATTAGAGGAAGGGGAACCACAACCACATCCTTGCCACATTGAGGATTGCACAACAAGCATAAGATATTATAAGCTAATCTTGCAAACCTATTTTAATTTGACGGAGGTCAATTTATAAACTTATATTACAAACCTCTTCATTCTTTTCCTGTTCATAAGCCATTCTTATGCTCAAATTTAAGGCAGCATGGTACATCTCGTCCAGTACATTTATCCAAAGCAGAGGCTGATTAACTTTCCACAAAAAAATATTTGATGGCTTGCCGACCATAACACCTGTCACTGTCTGCACGAACAATTAAGTTGTGGAAATATTAAATATCAAGACACAAATATCAACTGATTCCTAAAGTGTCTGTAAATATTGATAAGATTGCTCAACCTCCTTATGCAAGTAGTTATCATTCCATAACTGGTGTAGAAACTTTGAAGCTTTCTTTGGCTCAACGAGAGTACATGCTGCTATCTACAAATAAAAGAGAAGCACTTAAAGGTCATAACGTTCATATAGAATTTGAGTCCATTGACTTCCTTTATTCTTAGTTTTAGAAAAATGGAGGAATGTGTAATCATGAAATATCAGTTTAGCAATCTCCTTTATTAGATTTTGGAACATGTGAAGCATCATGGAGAACTGCCAATCTCTTAATAATAATCCATACTTCAGTTTCTCTTTGTCGCATGTTTCTCTGTTTTCTAATACACCATATCTTATTAGTCAAACTCAAGTTGCAAACAATTTTTAAAAAATTGTTGTACCTTAAAAAATCAACTTATAAGGTGAAGATTACTTCTCACATATATATATATATACTATTATAATCTTATTTATATAAGATGTGGAATATCCAACACATACCCCTCACATCAAGGACTAGACATCTCAAACGTTAAGTTTGTTAGACTGGACAATCGTATATGGTCCAATAGCCGCCCAATAATGGATGACACAATAGATCTAACAATAATCAATAATCACTAGAATATAAACTCTGAAATGTTCTAATACCATCTTAAGAAAGTAGTTTGGAATGTAACTCAACCTTACAAAATTAGCTTGTAAGAGAAAGATTACTCTCCACTTATACAAACTATTATGGTTTTATCCCTAGTCGACGTGTGATCTCCAACAAAGTTATACATTCATTTCTTAAATTTTCAAAAATAAAAAATACACCAGTCAATTTTTCACTGCTTAAACTTTCACTTTTATGAAACGTACACTAAAATGTCATTAATAGTTTATTAGACTAGAATCTCAAACTGCCAACATGGGGTTAGTGCAGTGAACAATAACCCCATAGCATCGGAAGTTAATTAAACTAGAATCTCAAATTGCCAACATCAATGAACCAAGATTGATAGATAGAATGGAATCATTAGCAAAACTAATTTTTGACAACTTCATTGACCAGAATATATCACCTTATCTGTGTCGAGAAAACTACTATCCTTTGACAGTAGCCTGAACATTCTGTAGGCATCCTTTCCATACCTTTTCAACATAATTGACTCAACCTGCAACATACAAGTCAACACCAAACCAGAAAATTCTACACTAGTAAAATATGAATATGTGTGTGTATATGTTTGTGTGTGGTTTAATGACCATGCTCCATAAGTGTAAAAAATTTTACACAGTCAACCAATAAGAAATCAAAATTGTACGACTTTTAAAGTAATTATTGTAAAAGTCAACAAAGTTACATTTATATAGAATTATAATTGGATGACAATGTAAAACTATTTTACACTGTTAATGCATGACTTGACTCATATATATATGATGTATCTATCATATAACCTCTTCATTTCGAGCCTGTTCAATAATTTTCTTCAAATCTGGAATAAAAAAGAGTTCTAAATTACAAACCATTATAGGAATCATAAACCAGAACTATGGAGGAGTAGTACAACATTTACAAATAAAAAAATAAAAATGGTGAATTTTTAAATCATAAGAATAGATATGAATTTTACCAATACTATATGAATCATCAATAATCGAAGAACCCGAACAACCCAACTGGCTAAGAGAGGCTCTAATACGATCTATGGTAAATGCTCGACCTATATCAGTCTTCATCACCTCCGTGGTAATTGTATCCAGTGACAAGGGAACTGAAACATAGGATAATATAGTACAAGTCAATAGAGAATGATGAGATAACAGTTGTGTCGTGGTGGAGGTCTTTCAATTCTTTTATGATGAAATACAAAATTCATTATTGTTGAGATATAATCAAAGTCTTACATCAATAGAATAAGAAGAAAAATAAGAGTTTATACAACACACTCATACTATATTATTCTATTGGTAAGAGACCTTTTGAATGATGATTAAAAGTAAAACCATGCTGATGTAAGTTCAAAGTGGACAATGTGGAGAGATATGTGTGAATACCAGACCCACAACAAGATAATAATGTTCCTCTTGAATAAAATATATTCCTCATACAAATACAAACCCAATAACCCCATGAATTACAACAGAAAAATTGCAAAAGAGAAAGGAGGATAAGCATCCTTCTTAGGGAAAGTACAAATCAGAGAACCAGATAGAGAATCAATGGAACAAGCTGGCTGCACAATCCAATATATCTTTACTCCAAGGTCTTTCATGGTCTCCCTCTACCCTTTTTCATGACATAAAAAACCATCCTATTCCTATCTATTCTCCGTACTGGAGCCTTCAACTAGGAGTGGATTGATTATTAATAGGACACACCCAACTTTCACCAAAATGCTGAATAAGGAATTCTCTAGTCCTATGGTTGTTTGAATGTAAATAAAGAGGAAGGAAATGAGGAGGAATGAGATAAATTGAAAATACCAAATTTTCATTGCAAATTTTAGAGGAGAAATAGGAATTTTCTGATGAGTCTCATATTAAAGAATTTCCCCACCATAAAGTAGGGGGACCTGTTGCATTTGATAATTTTGTTTCTCTTTCTAGAAAAGTAAACAAATTATAACATAAAAAGAATAAATAATTTTAAGTTAAGAAAAAATAATATAGTAAAAACTTTAAATTTTTTAGCTAAATTTATTTATTTTTATTTAGTATATTTTCAGTCATCCTTACAAGTGCGAAGAAATTTCTACACTTTTTCTCTTATTATATATCCAAAATAACATCTTTTCTATCTATTTCTTTTACTTCTATCTTTCCTATTTCTCTTCTCATTATTTCACTTATAATCCATAGACCATAAAAAACCACAACAAAACAGTGTAATAACGGGTAAGGAACTGATTCTAACAAAGCATCATATATTACACATATCAAGGGAAGGAGCTGTATACATCATATGAACCAGAAATATGTCGGTATCTATTAAGTAATGCAGTCAAAATAAAAGACTTGACTAGTTTTGGATTTCTACAAAGGTTTATCAAGAAGAAAAGAAGCTTATTCAAAGAATGAGAAATTGGACAAAGGAGACTATGCTATTGCTAGGTCACCAATTGATACTTCCCTATGTTCCTCTTTAATTATTGGTTCTTAAGTAAAATTGTCTTCTTACATTTCTTGGTTTGCGTATAGCAATCTTAATTGAATATTAAAAAGGAATGGAGATAGTAGAAGATTAACCACTGGGCATTGCACTTCTCTTAGGAAAATCTCAGAACTTGGGGGACTATAAAATAAAATGTGGCAGCACAATCTAGTGCATATGCAGAATTTATAGCATTAGCTCAAGGTGAATGTGGACAAGTTTGGTTAAAAATCATTCTCAAAGATTTGAGGATCAAGTTGTTAGATAATCTTAAATTTTAGAGATATTCGAGTTAGGGATGATTTTTAGTAGGATGCTTAGGTGTGATCATATGCTTTGTTATGTCAGTTGCTTTCTAGTCATAATTGCTTTATTACTTTTTATTTCCTTTGATTGTCTTTTAATTCATGCAATGCTTCCAACCTTCTATATATAACATTTTCTCCTGAAAGCGAAAGAAACATCAAGAAACACAACTCTCTTCTCTCTCTACTCTAGGTTATGAATTTTTGTTCTTGCTAGTTCTATAGTCTCAGTTAGAAAACTGAGACGGTTTTGTTCTATTTTGGGCTTCTGTAGATATTGGGAATAAGTCCTTTAGAATAATGCTTAACATATTTTAGGAAATTCATTTGTTCACAACTAATTTTTGGTACAATTTTTTCGTGATTCTCAACCCCTACTACCACATTATTAAAGTCATATTAAGGGTATTAAAAAAGGCTCAACCCAACAAATTGACTAGCATAACCCGCTCAAATGGGGTTGGATTGCACTTTCAATCTCAACATCTTAATGCATAACCTAACCTGTATAACCCACCAACTCAACAAGTTCAATGATAGATTGGATTGAGTTGGCACGTCACGTTAACATGTTGGGTTGACCCATTGAATTGACCCATTTTTCTTCACTTTAAGCATTGACATTGATTGATGTCGTTTTATTTGTGTTTCATTTACTTATCAAGTCTTATTTGTGATTATATTATTGTATACTTATTTTATGGTTGTTGGTAGACTTATTTGTAGTTAATAGACTTATTTTAATATTATTGATGAATTTATTAACTACATGTCCATTGAATATTTCATTACTATTTATTTTATAACTCTTTTTTATTTTTTTAAATTATATTTGATCTGAAGAAAATTTAAGATTAATAAAATAAAATAATTTATAATTTTTTTGATGGGTTGAGTCCTTCAAGTCAACCTTTCAACGATATGAAAAAATGGATCTAATTCAATCCAACCAACTTTTTTTAATAGGTTGAGAGTGAGTTGTGTTAGACTGACCTATTTGACACCTCTAAACTATACAAAACCTAAAATAAGATAATAACTGATAGCAAACCTAGGAGAAGTGATGGATGATCTTCTCCACGGATTTGCTTAGGCCGGATCTTCTTCAATGGAGGCTTGATTCTTCAACTCAAGACACTTAGAAGCTTAAGAACTCACGGATGCACTCAACCTAGAACTAGGAGGGAAGCATCCAAGCTCAAGCATCAATGGAGAGCACACTTCAAAGAGGAGGATTCTAAGGTGAAATCCTAAGGTTTTGAAGATGAACTCTAAGGTGACTTTGAAAGGGGAAACTCGGCCAAAGGCTCTCAAATTTCATTCAATATTCAAAGTGAGTACAAAAGTATTTGCTCATATGTTATTATGAATAAGGATGATGTTTAGTAGGATGCTTAGGTGTGATCATATGCTTTGTTATGTCAGTTGCTTTCTAGTCATAATTGCTTTATTACTTTTTATTTCCTTTGATTGTCTTTTAATTCATGCAATGCTTCCAACCTTCTATATATAACATTTTCTCCTGAAAGCGAAAGAAACATCAAGAAACACAACTCTCTTCTCTCTCTACTCTAGGTTATGAATTTTTGTTCTTGCTAGTTCTATAGTCTCAGTTAGAAAACTGAGACGGTTTTGTTCTATTTTGGGCTTCTGTAGATATTGGGAATAAGTCCTTTAGAATAATGCTTAACATATTTTAGGAAATTCATTTGTTCACAACTAATTTTTGGTACAATTTTTTCGTGATTCTCAACCCCTACTACCACATTATTAAAGTCATATTAAGGGTATTAAAAAAGGCTCAACCCAACAAATTGACTAGCATAACCCGCTCAAATGGGGTTGGATTGCACTTTCAATCTCAACATCTTAATGCATAACCTAACCTGTATAACCCACCAACTCAACAAGTTCAATGATAGATTGGATTGAGTTGGCACGTCACGTTAACATGTTGGGTTGACCCATTGAATTGACCCATTTTTCTTCACTTTAAGCATTGACATTGATTGATGTCGTTTTATTTGTGTTTCATTTACTTATCAAGTCTTATTTGTGATTATATTATTGTATACTTATTTTATGGTTGTTGGTAGACTTATTTGTAGTTAATAGACTTATTTTAATATTATTGATGAATTTATTAACTACATGTCCATTGAATATTTCATTACTATTTATTTTATAACTCTTTTTTATTTTTTTAAATTATATTTGATCTGAAGAAAATTTAAGATTAATAAAATAAAATAATTTATAATTTTTTTGATGGGTTGAGTCCTTCAAGTCAACCTTTCAACGATATGAAAAAATGGATCTAATTCAATCCAACCAACTTTTTTTAATAGGTTGAGAGTGAGTTGTGTTAGACTGACCTATTTGACACCTCTAAACTATACAAAACCACTAGCCAAGAATCCAATCAATCACGAAAGAAGTAAAGCTGAGCTAGTTGAGGAGTTTAAAGAAGTGAAGAGGGAGTTTGAGATGACTGATTTGGGCATCATGAAGTATTTTCTGGGTTTAGAGGTGAACCAAAGAACAACAGGTATTTTTGTGTCCCAAAAGAGGCATCGGCCACCGCGACGCCGGGGGTGCTGGACGTCGCATGGCTCGCGGGGCCATGGTACGCGGAGGAGTATCGCGCTCTGGAAGAGGCATCGAAATGAAAAAAAAAATTTAAGCTTATGGGGGAGTTTTGTTAGATAATCTTAAATTTTAGAGATATTCGAGTTAGTTATTCGGAATTATTTGTTTAGTCTGTTTTATCTTTTGAGTTATTTGTTTCAGTTTAGATAAGATAGTTTTTGATAAGTTTTGTTTAGATAAGATAGTTTTTGATAAGATTTGTTTTGATAAGATATTTTATTATCTTTTTGTTAATTCGGTACGTTGTACAATGGCTATTTAAAGGTCATCCCTTATTCAATGAAAAGTACAGTGAGTTGCTACGTTCACCCACAATATTAGTATTACCTCGTCTCTCTTAGTTTTTCTACACAAGTGTGGATTGGACCAATGAGACTTTACCACAAGAAGTCTTGCAATAAAAGATAATAGAACAAAGCACATTAAGGTTGACAGACACTTCATCAAAGAAAAATTGGAGTAGATTAATTTATATGTTGTGTGTCTAAACAAGCCAGCTTACAGATATCATGTACTTCCAAAAGGAGTGAGCATTCCAGCATTTTAGAATATTGTATCGGAGAATGCCTATTCACCATCTAAAGGTGGGGAACGTGGAAAAACTGCTTTAGTTATTTTATGAAATATTTTAACGAATTGTATCCCAAGAAGCAAGCTATTTGACTAGGATCTTTTACTTGGAAATCCCAAAAATCTGACATCGAACTCTAGTTTCTTTCCTTTTTTGTTAAGATAGTGGGTGTATATATCTATCCCATACGTATATCATCTTAATAAGAGTTTCCAAATTTATAAAGCAAGGAATGTGGTTCACCTGAATTCTGCATTTTCACTTTTTTCTCTACAGTTTTTGTTGCCTCCAATACTGCACGTAAGACAACAGCAGTTCCATCATCATGCTGAGTTCTAACATTCTCAATCAATACCTAGAATATGAATAGAATATTTAAGTGTAAGCTTCAAATAATAACATCCCGACAAAAGACCAAAAAATCATCTGAATCAATTAAACACGATAGCTTATAAATGGGACAACCATGAAAATTTTACCATCTTTTACTAATATGATTTAAAAGAAAACCAAAGAGCACAAAGACAGTAGTACAATCCCTGTTGCCACATTTGTCACACAAGGAAAATAAAATATAGTAGCATCAACAAGGAAAAGTAAGTGACAAACTGCTTTACAGGAAGCACTACATTATGATCCAGTGATGTAATCTCTCAAGTATGAACTCATTTATTATGAACCTGCTCAAGAAGCTAAGCCTAACACTGTCAACATAATTATAATATATTTATTTAAATGTTCACCAAGAGAATAGGGGTCATAATTTTAATTTATACTGAATTACACATTATTATTTATTGGAATATTTCATCTCTGTGCACATCTAATCAGTGATAACGTACATTTTCAATCAATAAGTAATCTGTGTGATTTCAATCAATTCCAACTATCATTGGCCATGTAGTAAGCTTTTACGACTCTAAAGTTCAATTCCCTTTCTCAGTTAGTTAAATCAAAAAGAATATGTACTAAGAAATGTAAAAATTCAAAGGAAAAAGAAAGTAGACTGAGTAATAATAGCACAATATTCAGGTAAGAAATTTAATATAAAATCAACCTTATGCCTAAGATGACGTATAAACTCCTCAAAATTTGCACGCCAAAGAATTTGTTCCTCTTCTGCTGCACCAAATTTTGTATCCAACTTCAAAAACTTATACTTGCATGAAAGATTTTGTTAACTGAAAACTACTAAATTGATTTGATCACGAGTCTTACCAACATTTTCTTCAACACTATTCATTTGGGCATCATCTGAATTTTTTTCTTCATCAACATTCAATCCCATATCTGCAGTGAGTGAAAATCTGATTGCATCCCTAGGCACTGCCGCTTCTAGAACACATTGTTCTAATGTCTTTGGAGCTACAAATATCTATAAGGTACATATTATCAAAAGAAAGTGTGTTGAGAAAATCCATATCCAGGTTACAGAAGTGAACACTCAACTTTAATAACAATGATAACATTGGATGATCATCAATTGTCCACTTTCTAGCACTTTTTTGACTGTAATCAGAAGCAATAATTGAAGGGTATTTGCAAATTCAGAATTCAATAATTAACCAGTAAAGTAATCTCACTGCTGACATTATCTTAACCTAACTTCCTTTCTATTTGATGTTACCATCAAATTGATCTCAAACTTGGATGATTAGTAAATAGCAGGGGCAATATAAATAAGTCACAAAAAGAATAAGCAGAAGGCTAAGTTAATCTCAATATAAATAAATAAATAATAATAATAGTAGTAGTAGCAATAATAGTAATATGATGGATAAATATAATAAGATGAAGTGAAAATTACGAAGTGAAGGAGGATAAGGAATCCTAAAAATTAAAAAAAGAAGAGATAACCAAAGGAACAAAGCTTCACAGTCACTCAAAATAGCTGTTAGTGAAACCCCATTAGAAATTATCTTGTGCTTTACACCAGAATAGACACCAAATGCATCTTAACCCAAAACATTAATGAAAGATAATCCAAGTTATCCAACTACCTAAAGAAATTGACCTGAGTGAACAATTAATTACCTTGGCAGACTTGGCACCCCGCTTCCTAATTGTAGTTTCTTTAAATGAAGTAGAAACAACCGGCTCAGGGGCAGGGCAGCGTTCAACAAATCGAGCTGTCAAAAGTTTACAGAGTAACTCTCGTACAACTTTAGAATCCACAGCATTTTCTGAAAGAAAAAGTACATGAGTTCAGATAGACTAATTTGAAAGGATTCATGATTTTTGGCATATAGATGAGCTCAACCATGCGTTTAAATACAGTACTTTCAACATATTAATTATAGCCAATTATATGTTAGATTAAATTGAGTGTACTGCTGAAGTATAGGTCCAGTAATATGTTTCCCTTTAACATAATTTAGAAAGACTCGACAATTCTTTGACTGTATCATATCATTACCTCCAATTAAAACCAACTAACTCCTTTCCTTATGTACCACAAATTTAGCTAAGTTGTGTATGTTGTACCATTCCTATAACCCAACCCAAAGCAAACCACAACTAATACATGTACCTTAACCCACTCCAAAAATTATGATTAAACCACAAATAAATTATGATTAAATCACGTATGATTTAGTTGGTATGTTGCACAAGTCTTAAAAATAATATTTGTCAATTTGTGTAAAACAAACCATTTTTCAGAATTAAACTAATCCGTACTGGCAAAACAATATTTAATATGTATCACACATCATAACGAACCAACCTTTTCCTTGACTTGCTCTGTCAACCATTTGTTTCAGGGTAAGCCTGCCATCACGAAGTAATCCATCAAGAAGCTCCGCACACTGCAAAACCAAGTGGAAAACGCTCTTAGCATTTTAAGCCATACATAAATCAAAAAGCTTGAAATGAGAAACATAAGGATCAGATCAAGCTGACTTCTTCATCAAGCCTTTGCGACACAGTCTCCAAGAATTTGGGAAATCTCAGTCGGTGGATTATGTTATCAAACAATGCCACGTACTGCGTTCTAACTTTCAAATTGTTTACATCATCATCTACATTTACAATTAATCAGAACATCGAGTCATTTTATCAACTAATGAAGCTGCATTTCATCACAAATATTACATTAATCTATAAAAAATGATGCTCATTACAAATAGATAATTATAAAAAAAAATAATACAAAAAAGGAATTAGAGAAAATATTATTAGGCTTAAATACATTTTTAGTCTTTTATATTTAAAATTAATCTTTTTAGTCTCTGTAATATAAAAAATCATGTTTTAGGACAACTAGTAACATTACCAACATGACAGATTGAGATGGTTATGGAGTGTCAATTGAGTTTAACATAATGTTTTCACTAATACAGACATTGATAAGTTAATATTGTGCAACAAATTCAATAGTATATGAGATTTATTTGACAAATACACTACCAGCATGGACTAAAAAAATTAATTTTAAATTTGAGAAACAAAAACAAATTTACATAAGGGACTAAATACAGGTTTAGGCCATAATAGTACTAGTAATACCATCAGGAACAAATGGTTGAGCACAGTTGTGTTGAACCAAAACGAGTAAAGAGTTCTTGACTTGCTCCTTAGTAAGTTCCGTGTAGTGAATCAACTGATCCAACGTGAGGGGTCCACGGTGAAATAGGTTTTCGCATACTTTCTACACACACATGTAAAAATTGAATGTTAATGAACTGAATTGAATTAAAATCCGTGAAGAGAGAAAAACGAGTTACATACAGAGACGACATTGCCGAAGTGGTTGCTGATGAGGTGAACGGCGAATTTGATGCCGTACTGTGTCGCCATTTTCTTCAGAGAGAAAACGGCGAAGAAGCCTGTGAAAGAGAAAGATGAGTAAAAATAAAAGAGGGTTAAATATTTATGACGGAAGGAGCACGTTAGAAAAGGTGAATGAATTGAAGCAAGGGAAATATAATGTAGAGTAGAATAAGAGAGAAAAGGAGTATACCTGAAACTGAGACCGGAGAATGGAGCGCAACAGCGGCGGAGATATGAAAACGGCGGCGGCGCTAACGAGAAGTAACGAGAGAACCGATGACTAAGCCGGGTGAATAAAAATTCCTCAACTGCTGTTATCTATTATCTAGTAGGTAACACTTCATCACCTCTATTAAAAATAAAAATAAAAATAATAAAATTTTAAATTAATTGGTATTATAATTAATTTATTAATTTTAAATTCTTAAATTTAATTAAAAAAAAATTTTAAATAAAAAGATATAATGATTAAAAAAAGTAAAGACCAAGGTGGTTAGTCAAAAAAATATTTAGTATAGATAATAATATAAAGGTTAAAAAAAACATCTTTTCCTCCAAAAGTTTCAACACTGCCCACATGATATATATTGAATATCAAGTTAATCTTAATTTTATTAGAAAGATAATATAATTATCTCTAATTTTTATGTTAATTTTAAGATCTAATTATGTCATTTAAAAAATACAAAATTCTAATGTTTTAACCTAAACTTAACAATTTGATTTTCATTTACTAATTTGATCATAATTTAAGTTATAAACATCTTTTTTAAGTAATTCTAATGACATTTAAAATCTAACATCTAAAGCTACAACTTTTATAAATATTATAAAACCTAATTATGTCATTTAAGTCTATTTGAAAGGCTTATAACAATCACATATTTCATTTCACACATAAAGTAAGAGATTTATCTTTTAACTCACATAACTTGTTTAACATTTTTATGTGATTTTTGAGTGTAAACTATAACTCTAAATGTCTACTTTCTAATTCAATAATCAAAATTCAATTTTATTAATCGGGATATCAGATAAATACCAAGGTATGTTCATACTAGAATTTTTAGAATTTGACACAACTCATATCCAAACTCTCTCTCCCAATCCAATCGGTAAAAATCACGATTAAAGCTTAATATTACTCTATTTTATCATTAATTATTCAAATCCAACATCAATTTCATGTTCTAATTACATATTTCTATTAACTACTCACGCAAAAACCATTTAGGGTTTCCACAAAACCCACAAACAATCTAAACTTTACAATTATAAGTTCAATCATGAAATGGGAGACATATACAACTACATAATAACAAATAGAACAATAAAAAAATCCTATAGAAGACAAAAAAACACAATGCAATCAATTGGGAAAAACCCTTTTCATTCAATACAAGAAATAGAGAAGGGATTGGGTCAATCCCACTACTCAACATATATTCCATGACCAAAGTGAGACTACTCACTCCCCTCTTACCTCGATGGATGCTTGATGAAAGACATAAATCTCCGAGATGTTCTCCTATGAGCTTTGTCTCTCCTTCCTATTCACCATAGGCAACACACACGAGTTAATGATAATATAAAGTGAGGTAACCCTAACTCTAATATCACATTTATAATTTATCGAAATCAATTAAATATGTCTTTGAAATAATAGGTAATAAACTATTAATAATATAAAGGGAAGAAGTTCCACAAAAACTTCCTTCCCCCCAAAAGTTCCAACATTCTCTGTAACATTAACTACCCTCACATTATAACACATAATATATTGAATAATTGAATAGAGGAAGGATCCATTTACTCCAGGAGTAAGTCTACTTAGACTTACTTTGTTCAATAACTCATACTCTATATCAAATCTCAACGATCCAACTAAAGTATGAAATGGTTTTCAAATTTTTTTTAAAATTTGCAAATTTGATCTGTGTATTAAGAACTTTAAATTCAATAATTGAATCGTTGAGATTTGATATAGATCATGAGTTATTGAATGGATCCCTCCTTAATTGAATAACCTCAAATACAATAGATAAATTCAAAATCATACAGGTAGAATGAATTACATTTAGCAACTTCATTACTGTCATACATGAAGTCCTTAGATGTCATTATTATTAAGACATCTCAAATCATTGACAATTAACTTACATCATAACCTATTAATAATTATTTTCTACCATATTTCATAATTCATTATTCCTAAATATTGATATAAATATGTCAAATCATTTATAAAATCAAATATTTAAAAGATAAAGGTATTCATCATCCTTCTTACAAACTACATTTTCACAACTTAACCTTCTAATACATGGTGTGATCCAAATGTCCCATCTAAAGATATATATATATATATGTATATATATATATATATATATATAATCAAGTTGATTTTAATTTTATTAGAAACAGATAACCACAAGGATTAGTTTAGTGGTTGGGTGGGCACTACAAGAAAAACTGTTATTATCTACCAAAATTTTTTCGTAGATAACGTTTAATTATCTACGGAATATTATCTATGAAATTTTTTCCGTAGATAATATTTAATTTTCTACGGAATATTATCTACGGAATTTTTTCCGTAGATAATGCCCACTTATCTACAAAAATTTCCGTAGATAACTTATCGACGGATATTTCCGTAGATAAAATCCGTAGGTAAAACATATTTTTATTATCTTTTCATTTTTATTTATTATAAAATAATTAGAATATTTAATTTAACATCAATAAAAAATAATCATTATAAAATTTATTCTTTTTTAGTTTAATTATTTATTATAATACTTTTTAGTTACCGTATTGACCAAAAAATTATTTTTAATTAAAATATATTTTAGAATTTTAGTTAATTCATTATCATTCACTCATTTTATTAAAAAGTGATAAAATATAATTAATTTTTAATTAATTTAATAAAATAAAAACTTTAAAATAAATATCTAAAATCTGTAACAATTTCTTAAATACAAATATTTAATTAATTAATTTTAATATATACTAAATTTAATATTAGAAAATTTATAAATATTTTAGTTATAATTTTTATTATCTTTTGATTTAATATTAGATTTCTTTTGATTATGAAAGATAGTAAATAAAATCTAAAATCTGTATGAGTTTGTTTGATAAAAATGTTTAATTAATTTTAATATATGAGGACTTATGTTAAATTCTCATGTGACCATTTTTGTAATCTTTCATATCCTTACCAAAAGAATTTTATTAAAAAGATAAGACAATTATCTCTAATTTCTATCACGTTTCAACCTAAACTTGACAATTTGACCTCCATTCACTAATTTGATCATAATTTTAGTTTTATACCTCTTTTTTAAGTGATTCTAATGTTATTTGAAATCTAACATCTAAAGCTACAACTTTTATATAGATTATAAAACTTAATTTGTCATTTAAGTCTATTTGAAAGACTCAACATACACATATTTCATTTCGCCTACAAAATAAAAGGTTTATCTTTTAACTCACATAAATTGCTTAACATTTTTAAGTGATTTTTGAGTCTAAATTATATCTTTAAATGTCTATTTCCTAACTCAACAATCAGAAATCAATTTCATTAGTTAAGAAATTAGATAAATACCAAGGTATGTTTATACTAGAATTTTTAGAATCTGACACAACTCATATCCAAACTCTCTCTTCCAATCCAATCAGTAAAAATCACAATTAAAGCTTACTACTACTCTATTATATCAACAATTATTCAAATCGAACATCAATTTCATGTTCTAATTACATATTCCTATTAACTACTCACACAATAACCATTTAGGGTTTCCACAGGAAGCCACAAATAATCTAAACTTTACAATTATAGGTCCAATCATGAAATGGGAGACATATACAACTATACAATATCAAATAGAACAACAAAAAGTCCTATAGAAGACAAAAAAAAACACAATGCAATTCATTGGAAAAAACCCCTTCATACAATACAAGAAATAGAGAAGGGATTGGGGTCAATCACATTACTCAACATATATCCCACAACCAAAGTCAGACTACTCACTTCCTTCTTACCTTGATGAAAGCTTGATGAAAGACATGAATCTCCGAGATGTTCTCCTATGAGCTCTGTCTCTTCTTCCTATTCTCCACAGGCAACACACACAAGTTAATGATAATGTAAAGTGAAGTAACCCTAACTCTAGTATGACATTTATAATTTATCAAAACAATTAAATATATCTTTGAAATAATAGATAATAAACTATTATCTTAAAATATCTCTCAAAATATATTATTATCCTAATTAATTATTTCTCACTATTTTGAAAATAAGTAAATAATAACTATTATTATTTCGAAATATCACTCAGAATATAATACTAACCCAATTAATCCATTCAAAATATTATATATAAATACAGAAGATAATATCTTTTCAAACAAATAATTTCAAGATCTTTATTTTCCTTTAAATATATAAGACAATATCTTTTCAAATAAATAATTTTAAAATCTTTATTTTTCTTTAAATACATAGGACAATATCTCTTCGAATAATATAATTTTAAAATCTTTATTTTTCTTATCTTAAAATATTCTTGTTTTTAAAATCTATAAAATAATCAAGTCATAATATCTAATCAAAATATGTTAGATAAAATATAATAATATACCTAATAATAACAAATAACTTTATAAATCTTTCTTTAATTAATAAAAGTAATCATAGCCATTTAAAAAAATCTTTAATATAATTATAAAACCTATTTATTTATTTAAAATATCCTATTAATAATTTAGAAAACTTGAGATGTTACAATCTCTCATCCAAAACTTTTTCAAAATATTTTTTATATATAAAAATGTTAATAATAAAAATAAAATAAAGTAATATAAAACATATTATATGAAAATGTGTACCAAAATGAAAGAAAAAATTAGTATATAAATTGCTACTAAATATAAACTACAAAAATAAATATATAAAAAATATCAAAAATGAAAGAAAAAGAATCAATATATATCAAAATAAATAAATAAAATAATTGGATTAAAATATTTTAATAGTTTCTAATAATTACTATATTTTTGCCATAATATAAAATAAATTGCTACTAAATATAAATAAAAAAAATTCATAAAATAAAATATCAAAATAAAAGGATATATTTAATAATCACTAATCATTATTAATATTCTACAAAATTCAATTGTTCTACATTATAAAATGTATTTTTGTAAATTAAAAATTATATCATATTATGCATGAAAAAAAAAAGTAGAATAAACAAAATTTTCTCTATATTAATAATGAGACTAATTT